CAGGTGGCCCCTGAGGGAAGGGAGCTTGCCCGGGGGTTGTGTGCCGTGGGCTCGTAGCGTGCCCGGCTGGAGCTCAGCGGCGGGGGCTGCTTTGCACCAGGACTTGCAAGGAAACCGCTATCGGGCTCCAGAACTTGTTTCTTTGCCAAATCTGTGAGGCCTCTGAATTTGCAGAGTTTGGCTCCTTACATGCACCTGCCACCTCTCTGCGCAAACCAGCGATGCGATTGTCGAAGCAAAGGGCACGACGAGCTCTGATGCAGCAGCTTCTCCCCTGCTCTCCAGTTGCTGCCTGAGCCCGGGGGGGTGTTGTGGAAAGATTTGGTCACCCAGGAGCCTGCCAGGCTCCCCAGGCAGGCTGTCCCCCCGCCACTGCCTTACTCTGAGGCAGCAAACGGGCCATGATGCTATTTGTGTTTACTTCTGTGTTTTAGGGCCTGAGGTTCCCATCTGGGAAAAACCCAGGTTCGTAGGGGGTTTGGTGGAGTGCTGGTTTTGCAGAGGGCTGCGAGGCTGCTGGGCCCTGCGTGCTCGATGCCCACGCTGGGTCAGCAGCCCCTCACGCCCCGCCGGGCTGGCAGCCGCCTACAAAGTTTTATTGCCCTGTTTGCATTGTCTCACGCTGTGGTAGGTGAGGTTTCCATGGCCTGGCTCTGTCGTGACTCTGGCTTCTCTGTGATATTGACCACTTGGAGCGAGACCAGAGGAGGCCACGAAGATGATCAGAGGGCTGGCGCACCTCTCCTATGACGAAAGGCTGCGAGGACTGGGCTTGTTCAGCCTGGAGAAGAGGAGGCTCCGAGGAGACCTCATTGCAGCTTTCCAGTATCTGAAGGGGGCCTACAAGGGTACTGGGAGAGGACTTTTTACAAGAGCCTGTAGTGATAGGACAAGGGGGAATGGGTATAAATTGAAATCAGGGAGGGTTAGATTAGATGTCAGGAAGAAATTCTTCACAGAGAGGGTGGGGAGGCACTGGAACAGGCTGCCCAGAGATGTTGTGGATGCCCCATCCCTGGATGTCTTCAAGGCCAGGCTGGATGTGGCTTTGAGCAACCTGGTCTAGTGCAAGGTGTCCCTGCCCATGGCAGGGGGGTTGGAACTGGATGATCTTTAAGGTCCCTTCCAACCCAAACCATTCTGTGATTCTGTGATTCTGTGAACAGTGAGATGGGGAGAAAAAATGTCAGCAAGAGCTGCACGCCTCCAGACACTCATGGCTGGTCTGTCGTCCATTGGCCCCAGTTGCTTTGTGCAGACTATGGGAGACAGGACTTCCTGGACGTGCAGGCGTCGGAAATTGCTCTCCCTTCCTGAAAATGCTGGCCACAAAAATTCCTTCCCCCTGCCACGTGTGCTTGTGCTTTTCATTTCTTTCACGAGCACTGCAGGGAGCAGAGAGGTGTTTCCCACTCCAGCGGCAGCGTGCGAGTCACCCGGGTATCAACAGCCCTTGCCTGGGATGTGACGCCACCGCCCTGGGCACTGCGCGGTCCCTGACATGGCCATGGAGATAGATGCACCCAGCAGGGTCTGCAGCTCATCTTTTAGGGATGACATGGTGCCACTGCAAGTCGGTGGGGAGAAATGCTGATTTTTATGGAAAAGAAAAAAAGGCAACGTCTGCCATTTCCAGGCCTCGTTTCTATGGGAACAGGACATCAGAAAAGGAGAAATGCAGTGAGTGCTCTAAAATAACTGCCAGCTCCCAGGAGCACATAGCCTTTGCTCGGCTCACCTGGCCCTTTCTGCTGAGACAGTGGCCGGGGACAGCCGGCTCCCAGTGGTGTGGAAGTGGGTCAGGAGGTGGGATGCTGTGGCCTTGATCCCTGCCAATCCTCAGCCTGTCCTTATCTAAACTCACTGGCAGGAGAGCTCTGGTCCAGGCAGGCAGCTGGCATAGCCACCACGTTATCCAGCACAGTTCCGGCAGTACGGCTGGGGCTGGTGGTGCCGGCCAGACATTGAGGACCGTCCACCTGTCTGGGCTGTGGGTTGAAGGTGGGCAGGAGGATCTTCTTCCTTGCTGACCTCCCTGGGATGGCCAGGGTGAATCTGTGCTCGTATGTTTAGGAGACGCTGTGGTTGGACATGGAGAGCAGGGCATATCCAGTGAGGGGGAGAGGAACTGTTGTTCTCCCAGAAGTTGTTGGTGGTCATGTATCTCTTCCCCTGGATCTTTGTCTCTTGTTGGGAAAGTCAGTCTGCTCTTGCAGTACATAGGGCTGAGGCCAGGCAGGAGAGCATGGTCGAGGGGACAGCCTCACCTGCTGCCGTGTGAGAGCATCATGGTGTGTCCTCCTGCAAGGGATGAGCACATCTGAGGCTGTTTCGAACCAGCTGTTCACAACCCTCCTTTTCTGCCAGAGGTGGTCCTGGGCATGGGCGGGGAGGGCAGATGGGGACCCTGCCTGAACTGCCTGTGGTCATGGGCATCTTGAGGCTGATCCAGACAGCACCTTCCAAAAAACCCTTTCCCTTTTGTGTTGAAAAAAAAAAAAAAATTCTGTGGATGCCCAGAGCCTGGAAAGCCTTTTTTGTTCTCAAATCTGGTAAGAATCATAAAATGGAATCATAGAATGGTTTGGATTGGAAGGGACCTTAAAGACCATCCAGTTCCAACCCCCTGCCATGGGCAGGGACACCTTCCACTAGAGCAGGTTGCTCCAAGCCACATCCAGCCTGGCCTTGAACACTTCCAGGGATGGGGCATCCACAGCTTCTCTGGACAACCTATCCCAGTGCCTCACCACCCTCTCCGGGAAGAAAGAGTAGCCCTGTTGTATCTGAGCTTCTTCCTTCTTTCATTCTGCAGTGAGTGAGAAGTCCAGTACAGGTTTTCTTGGGACCCTTAAAAGCTTAGAAAAAAATTATTGGAAATAATGAAGTTTTCCGCCTTTGCGTAGTGTTTGTGTTACCCAAGAGCTGCTTGACATTTTCTCAGCAATGTACCGGACCCGGTGGCAGCCGTAAGACACGGTGGCAGGGGGTCCAGCTTGTGTTTGTGGGTGTGGCAGGGCGAGCAGCCAGGAGAGACGTGGGATCTCTGCGAGGGGCTACGGCAGCCGCCTTCTCCAGCCTGACCTGTCGTGTATGTCCTTGTTAAAACGGGCAAAAAGTTTGATTTCCCTTGATTTGCTCTGGATTCCCTTCAAATGAGTGCATGAGGAAGGCTTCTGCTCCTGGAGGGGCTCATTTGGAGGTGGGTCAGGTCCTGCCACGTGGAGTAAGTGGGGCTGGGGGACCTCTTATGTGGGTCCTATGGCAGACTGGTGGCAGTTCTGCCCGGACACGTGTGGACTGGAGGCCAGTTGGAGACACGGTACTTTGTGGTGAACTTGAAGGGGTTTAAGCTGAAATCTAGCAGCAGCCACCTTTGCAAAGTCCCCTTTGCTGTTCCTTCACTGCTTGCTGCTCGGGGGGTATCTGATGGGCTTTTTTGGGCTGGAGAAGTGGACCTTTTCTGCTGGTTTTCTGCCCAGAGAAGGATCTTCCAGCAAAAAAGACTTCTGCGGAGTAGCAAAAAGGTGTTTGTTTTGCTCTGAGAACGCACCTGCGGTTTGGGTTGGGGATGGGAAGATGCATGCCAAACCAGGAGAACGATTCTGGGGGACTCAGGGAGCTGGTGGCATAAGGCAGGCTAGGTAGATGGATGTTTGCTGCTTTGTCTGCAGCCCTATGTGGATTTTAGCTGGCTCTGGCTGCAGCTCAGTCGCTCCCAGCTGCCGATGCTCTGCTCACGATGTGCATTTACCAGTCACCGGTCCGGGAGCGAAGGTCGAGCAGGCTGGGTCACCAGCCTCCCTCTCTTCTCCCTGCTGAAGTTGGTTGGGTGCCGGCCAGATGCAAGGACCCGATACCGTCCTGACCGGTGCTGGAAAATGTGCTGTTTGAGCATCTCTGGGGTGTTGCTGGCAGGTAATGTGTCCATCCTTGTCTCTGCAGCGGCTTTCGATGCTGCTAGGCTTTGGAGCACAGGCTTTCGGAGATGAAACTGGCAGCTGCCTGCTCCTGGAGTGTGCAGCAGGGCTGTGGGTGCTGCTGTGACCCAGGCTGGCCCCATCGCTGTGGGGAGAGGGGGTTTGCTGTGCTGGGAGGCTGGGGGCTGCCCTGTGTCTGGCAGCATGAGCAGGCAGCTCTGCTCGTGCCAGGGCTGCCCCTTCTCTGAGCCACGCCGCAAGTGTGCAATCCCAGCCCAGCTCCAGGTGGGACAGCAACGCTTCCTCAGGAAACGCTGCTGCAAATGGAGACGAAAACAACTTGGAGGGATGGCAGATGCTTCCCAAGATGGGGAGGACGTGGGTGTATCGTCCTTGAGCACCGACCGTCCCTTCTGCTTCTCTGCTCTTTTCTCGTCCTCGCCTCTCCAAGGAGAGTTTCTGCTGGAAAAGCACTGTTAGCATTGCAAAACCAACTCTTCACGTTGCAGAAGGCGGAGGCACCACTTGAAACCTTCATCAGTCCCAAAATAATGGGCTGAAAGGAGTTTGGTGTTCGTGGTTCTGTAACCCTGTGCTCGCACTGCTTAAGGAAAGCCGTTCCCTGCCTGCTGCTGTTGAAGGACCCCTGATCCTTGCTGGTTGGGTTTCTGAACCCTCTCTTGCAGCTCAGGTCACACCAAGGACTGGAAACGAGTTGTGCGAGAAACCACGAGCTCTGGCTCTTACGGGTCACTAGTGACCCTTGGAGAGGGAGCCCAACGGTTATTTTTGGCCGTTTGGGGCTGAGCCAGCTGTTGCGACATCAGGCTGGAAACAGAGAGCAGCCCTTGGGTTGCCAATGGGTGAGATGTGGGATGCTGCCCTCCTGCTGCTCCGGTGCCCAGCATTCACAGCTCTTTCTTGTCTTCCAGGGTCCTGCGGAGCAGTGGCGGTCCCCTTCTGGTGGGAGGATGGTTGTTCTCAGGCAGTTTGGGCTGTTGCTCTGGAAGAACTACATCCTGCAGGTAGGCTGGTGCTGCACTTTTGGGGGCTGCCTCTGTCAGCCACTAAATCTGGGTACGCCAGAGTTTGCCAGGGTCTTGATTATTCAGCAAACCTTCACCGTGAGCCCAGGGCAGCTCCTGGAAGAAAACTGATCTATTTGTGCATTTTACGGTGCCTCTAAACCCACCGGGGCCCAGGGTTTTATTTCCTTCATGACTTTCTGCAGCCCTCAGAACCAGCTTTTGGGGGTCTTAAAAAATTCAACCACCATCCTCCTGGCATCCACTCCCAGCCCAACTATCTGCGTGGCAGCTGGATGAGGGTGAGGGATTTCGAGACCTCCTTGCCCTGCTGTTGGGCAGCATCTCGGCTACTGCTGGACGAGGCTGCAGAGCCTTTTGGCAGTGTGTGGGTGCTCCTGGGCAGATGCTGTGGCTCTGCTGGGACCCAGAGCCAGCCCTGGCAGAGGGCAGTGGAAGAGGGGGGAGCAGAGAGATCACCACAGCCTGGCTTTATACTTTCAATGACCCTTCTGCAGATCAGCACGACGTTGCTTAAAAAATAAACAAAAGGAAGAGGGAAGGGCTGGCTGGGCTGCCTGTGCCGGACTTCCAGCAGAGCAGCGAGCCAGCAGCGGGGCTCAGATGTGACTGAAGGCACTGGCAGCAGGTCTGATTTGCAGCAAGGGCTGAGCTTTGTGGGCGTGTGTGGTGGCTGGTCCTGTGAATCCCCCTTGTACACGTGCAGGACAATCCCCCATCCCCTTTGCAGGGGAATAGCATCATCTGCTGCCTGTGCTCTGGGGTGGGGGCACATCTCATCATTTCCTGTCAGGACACAGGCTGACTTGGATCTACCGTGTTGGAATACAACCTGGAGTCTCTGCTCCCCTCCACCAAAAATAACATGCTCCCAACGAAGATGCAGAGTTTCCAAGCCCGTCATCATCCTAGTGTGAAGATGGATGCTGGGACACATGGCTTGCTCAAAGCTGGGGCAGCCCTGGCCAGGCGGAGCTGGGGATTAGGGATGAGTGTCCCAGTCACTTCTGGAATATGGCAGCTTAGATGACTTCTGCGGCAGCAAAAGCCTGCGCTGGTAAATGTGTATTAGCCTGCAAGTTCAGGGAGCCAGGCAACCGTTCTGGAGATAGCCCAGGAGACGGAGAGGGTTAATACGGTAGTAAATCAGTGGGAGGCAGCTGCTCCGCCAGCGCTGCATTAGAAAACCATCAGACGTGCAGCGTCCGCTTTTATGAGTGTGGCCTTTGGAAAGGCTCCTTTCCTGCCCGCTCGGAGCTGCTGCAGCAGTGGCTTGTCCCTGGCTGTGGTCGGAGCGGGCAGCTCCTCCCAGGGGAAGCCTGGACAGGGATTTTCGGCTCTAGAAGTGGGTCGATGTGGGGAGCAGCTGCATGGCCATATGCCTGCATGCCCCTTCCTGACAAACCGGCCAAGAGCCTATTCACCCCAGCTGCTGCAGGGCTGACTGTCCCCCATCCCAGGAAGTCTGGGCTGGTCTGTGCTCAGAGCTCTGTTTCTGCTCACCTTGGTGTGCTGCCTTGCTGCTTCCCCTACCCCCCTGCCCTCCAGTTTAAAAAATGAACCCTTTTCCCACTCTGCAGAGGGATGGGAGGTATAACTCCATAGTCAACACAGCGCAGTGCTTGGTGTTGGCAGAGGTGAAAGAGGTTTTTGGCAGCTGGGTGCTGCCTCCAGCACGAGGTCGGTGCAGGCAGGGGAGCAGAGCCCCGACAGGCGTGGGGCTGTGTCATGCCCTGCCTGCAGCGTGCTCACCCCGTATGGTGCCCAGCATCCCCAGGGGTGTTCCTTACGGCACTGCAGCCCATCCCCGCGCCCAGTGGTGATCCAGGCTGTGGCATCGCTGTGCCAGCGGCCGTGGGGCCAGGCAGGAGGTGGTTTAACAACGCTGAGTGTGCAGAGATGCCAGGGAGGGGCTGTCGGATAAAAAGCAGTTGCTGAGACAGCAGAATTGTGAGAATAGACCTCTTGGCGCTCCTCTTGTGCATTGTGTTGCTCTTCCCAGCCCAGTGGAGGTGTGGTGGGGTAGAACCCCCAAAGTGTCGTGTAAAGCCTGTCTTAGCCAGAGCCCTCAGCAGAGGTTAACGCTGCTGCTTCTGTTCTGGGCAGGCGCCCCCAGCGAGCAGCCATGAATCCCTGCGCCCGGACCTGCTCCCTACTGCCAGGGACATCTCCGGAGTTCTCGCTGCAGTGATGGAGGTTTGGCATGCTGGGCTGTGCTCGGGTGAGGGCAGCTGGGTCTGCAGGAGGCAATAAGGTGGCTGGGTCTGGGTTTCACCTCTCTCACCCAGACCCACCTGGCTGGACTGGGCACAGGGCTGAGCCTTCCTGCCTGCAGTGGGATGTTGCGTGCCCAGCCGAGTTCTGGGCCCTGCCTTCCTCTCCCATCCCCAGCTGGATGATGCAGCTTCCAGTGGAAGCGGTCCGGTGCTCACTGCTCCCTCCTTGGAAGCAAGCATGACCTTTACAGTGATTTTTACAAGCACAAACCCATCGGTCAGCAGCATGTCGCAGCTCCTGCCCTAAAACAGATCAGGGGGGTCACGCTGCAGGGACGTGGGACACTGGTCAGACTGCTGCTCCCCCGGCCCCTCCGGTCAGAGATACCCCAGTTCCCCTGGGACAAGCAGAGTTTTAAATGCTAATTAACCTGGGTTGGTGGCTGGTGTTGTAGCTAGAAGTTTGCAGGAGGGGCAGCCCTTGGGGAAACTACTGGGAAGGTTGTGCTCCGGCTTGGCTGCCCAAGTGCGTTCACTGGACTCAAGTTCATTGTCCAGTTGCTTGAACCTCAGTTAAAAAAAAATAAATGAGTAGGGCCTGGAGTGGAGGCTGAGCTCTTGACTGTGTTCTCGGTGCTGTGCAGGGACACTGATGCCCAGAGCCAGAGGCTCTGCCAGGTCCCATCCTGTGCTGGGATGCAGAGCCCATGTCCCGCTGTCTGCAGCTGATAAGCTGAGGCAGAAAAAACTTCCCTGGCTGCATCAGCTTTGCTGCACTCTGCTTTACCTCCCTGATGCTTGCTCACCCAGCCTTTCATGTAGTTAGGGTATTTTAGCTCCCAGCCCTGTAAGCGTTGGGCACGGTTGCTCTTCACTCTCCCGGCTGCAGCTGGTCCCACGGCACAGGCCCTCCTTGCAGGAGGGGCGTCGCTACAGAGTGGTTTTGGCAAGCCCTGAGTGCTGCCTGCCCTGGGCAGAGCCCTGGTGCCCAGGGAGAGGGCAAGTGGCCCACTTGGCTCATCCAAACTTGGCAGCATGGCAGGGAAGGCTCTAAAGGAGGGTGGCTTGAGGCAGAGTGGTGCTTAGGGAAGGGGACACCTTGCTAATGGGAACGGGTGCAGTGTCATTCTTGGGCTCCAGGAAAAAACAGGTTGTGAAACCTTGTGAAATGCAAGAACGCTCCTGCTGTGCAGCATTTGCACGCCCCGATCCTCATGACTGTGTTTGTGTTACCTTCAGTGTTCACATCTTACTTGTTATATCCTTATCTTCCTGGCAGAAACGGCAGATCCTGGTGACGGTCATTGAAATCTCCCTGCCGCTGCTCTTTGCCGCCATCCTGATAGCGCTGCGGCACCGGGTGCACTCCATCAGCCACCCCAACGCCACCATCTACCCCCCTGAGTCCGTGGATGACCTGCCGGGCTTCTTCTACCGCCGGCACCCCAGCAACCCCTGGGAGCTGGCTTACGTCCCCTCCAACAGCAGCGCTGTCCGGAGCATTGCTGAGGCGGTGGAGAGAGCTTTACCTGTCAGCATCCGAGGTGAGCAGCCGCCAGGGCTGTGGCTTCTGCCCAGAAATCAGTACGATATTTTACTCTGGTAAATCCTCTTTTCCTGGGATACATCCTTTTATTCAGAACTTAAGGCAATGTGTTTATTTTTGTTTCGTTAAAACTACAGGATTTTGGTTTTATTTTTGGTCGCATTTTGTTGAGGTTTCCATCTAGAAAAATATTGCCCTAAAATAGATGAAGCAAGTGGCTGTCGCTTCCCTGAGAAAAGTATTTTTGGAAATCTTGTTGCGCAGAAAATTGTAGCGCTTCATGTTCCAAACCGAAGCTAGTGTTAGGATTTTCTCTGAAAGGAGAGCTGCCTCCTGCTCTTGAGGAGGAGGAATCGGCTGCGTGCCCCATGATGGGTGCAGCAGCATCCCGTATAAATCCCCGTGCGTGGCAGCAGCAGTGTTTCCCAGCTCTGGCTGGAGCACATCCCGCCTGTCCTGGACCAAAATGATGTTTCCCAGGAGCTGCTGTACTCCCAGCCTGCATCACTTCTTTCCCCCTCCGCAGCTCAGGGCTTTGCCTCGGAGAGGGACTTCGAGGAGTATGTCAAGTCGGACAACCGCTCGGGCAGCGTGCTGGCTGCCGTCGTGTTCAAGCACCGCTTCCACCAGAGCTCAGCCCTGCTGCCCCTCCAGGTGAGCAGAGCCAAGGGAAGACGAGGACGCGGGGGGATGGCATTGCTGCGGTCCAGACATCACTCCACTCTCTCCCACCCTCCTTCCAGGTCGAGTATGAGCTGCGCTTCAAGTACAGCCCGAGGAACGCCCCACGGAGCGAGCAGACGGGTCTGAACCCCAACCTGGACCGGGACTGGCACACCAGCTATCTCTTCCCACTCTTCCAGCTGCCCGGGCCTCGGGAGGCCAAGTTTGCTGATGGGGGGACACCGGGTGAGGGCCACCACTCCTCTGCCGCAGGCGCTTTCATGGCCAAAGACATGGGTGTTATTTTCAGTACAGCAGCTCGGCTTGCTGCAGGGATGCACTGAGGCTCTGAGCTTTTAAATAAATAGTTTCTTTTTAAAAAATTTTAAAAATATTATATT